TCGCCGTGTAAGAGAAATAGTAACGTAAACAAAACAAAGCAAACGTTGCCACCGGCGGAAAAGAAATACAGCCAAAATTTGGGAGCCACGTAAGAGAATTATATATATTAGATGAAGATCATGTTGCTAATTATTATAATTTTATGTAAGCACATTATTCAATATGTTATTCATAACCGAACGAACTGAGTTTAAAGAATAATGAACCGTATTTAAAAAGAAAGTTAAATTTAGGAAAATAGAATGTGTGACACAATAAGGAGAAATAAAAGAAAAGCAATTTTACTTGTTAACAATATAAAATGAAAAATCTTACGTTTTTATAACAATTCAAATAGAAAATGTTATTTTACTCTCTTTGAACACTCTCGAATTGTGTTTTTTTAATTTTAAAAATTTCAATATAACTGTTTAGTAGTTATATCTAAAATAATCTAATCTCTTTCCCTCTTAGTTTTTTATTTTCGATATCAACTCAAGCGTAAACATAAAGATGACGAGAGCGATAAGTAAACTTCTCTACAACTATGGATAAATAGCTATCATTTAAAACAAAACAAAAGATAGAATAAACTCATGAAAAACTTACTTAAATTGCTATAACTTTCAACCGAAGTGGAATTGCGAAGAAAGAAAAACCTCGGTTTATCCATAAATAAAAATGACAGCACGTCAAATTTTAAATTAGGTGCCTTCTTGCGGCATACAGAGCGGCTCGAAGAGTATTTTTTACTACAATTTCTTAACTCTTATGTAATGGGATAGTCACCCCTCTGATCTGAATTATATCAAGTGCATGAGTTCGCTCACCTTAAATACCACCAAATCGTAAATAAAATTCCTCAGAATGTTCTCGTGCACTAAGTTAAAGCAGTTAATCAAATGCTTTACTATACTTATTGCAAACTGGAAATGACTTAGCACCATGGGAAAATCGGAAGGTTTTTTAATGTCCAGTAGACAGCCGAGTTAAGATAGTTTGATCTCTCCTGTCACCTTTAAAACTAATTGAAACACCAGGACACCCACTAAGATACCAGATGTAGTGCACATTTATAATTAAATCAAAAAATCATATTAAAATGCCATCTAAGCCTAACAATAAATGCAACCGTAAGCCTTTTTAATTCAGTCAGATTTTGAAAAATAGGATTTTTGACATCCCTAACAGTTCTTCAACCAAACAGTAGAAAGTCGTTATTTTTATGGTTTGCTTAAAGAACTTCCCGGGCATGGGTGAAAGCCAGACAGAAAAGTGGAAAAGCTGGTGGTAAAATCAGTTTTAACTTGTTTTTGGAAAGGGTAAATCTGTTCCAGTTTTAAAAGCATTCAACAATATTTACTATTTCTCAAGAAAGAAGCAGTTTCATATATATATGCTATAATTGTTTAAAAAAATATCTGTAGTTACAGCCTTTTGTATCTGTTTTTGCTCTATTCCGCTTGATATATATAGGCTTTCAGCCTTGTCCCCAGGGCGTTTAATATCATATTTAAAAAGTTGGCAATGTTGTCCTATTTTACGATGATCTTACCATATCTTTAATATGTATTTTGAAATTCCCCATCTGAAAATTTGATTACCTCCAGGTTTTTCAAACTCAGGAAGTCGATTCTCAAGTGCTAGTGTTCGCACGTTTCCCAAGATTACACCGAAAATAGAATTTCCAAATCGATTCTCAAGTGTTCAATTGTCGAAAGCTCCATCTGGTGCTCGATTCAACGGAAACCAATTCCCAGACACCCTACACTCACGAAACCTAAAGCCAGGATCTCGGTCCCCAGGAAAACAAAACTCAGGTGATATTCCAGGTATATTGAAGACAGGAGATCATCCGAGAATTACAAAGCCCAAGGATTCTACAGGAGTTTCAAAAACCAGAAAACGTCCAGATGGTGAAAATCCCGGAGCTCCTCCTCCCGATTTCAAACCAGCAAAATCTTCAAAGCCAGAGGACCCTCCAGAAGTTCCAAAGTCAGCATCATCCCGAAAGAAAGGTGATCCTTCAACATACTGATTACGCAATCCTAAACCCTTGGTCCTGAACTGCAACAGCTCACTTATAACATATTGAAATAATATGCACATATTTCAAATCGATGCTTTTTTTTCTGATTATACTCTGATTAATTAACGGACACGACATTTCTGTCAGCCGAATTTTTGGTTAGATTGGGAGACCGGACGCTGCGTAGAACGGCTTACCTTCAACATACTGATCACACAATCCTAAACCCTTGGTCCTGAACTGCAACAGCTCACTTATAACATATTGAAATAATATGCACATATTTCAAATCGAAGCTTTTTTTTCTGATTAATTAACGGACACGACATTTCTGTCAGCCGAATTTTTGGTTAGATTGGGAGACCGGACGTTGCGTAGAACGGCTTACCTTCAACATACTGATTACACAATCCTAAACCCTTGGTCCTGAACTGCAACAGCTCACTTATAACATATTGAAATAATATGCACTTATTTCAAATCTATGCTTTTTTTTCTGATTATACTCTGATTAATTAACGGACACGACATTTCTGTCAGCCGAATTTTTGGTTAGATTGGGAGACCGGACGCTGCGTGGAACGGCTTACCTTCAACATACTGATTACACAATCCTAAACCCTTGGTCCTGAACTGCAACAGCTCACTTATAACATATTGAAATAATATGCGCATATTTCAAATCGATGCTTTTTTTTCTGATTGTACTCTGATTAATTAACGGACACAACATTTCTGTCAGCCGAATTTTTGGTTAGATTGGGAGACTTCGGACGCTGCCTAGAACGGCTTACGCAATCGCCCAAGATCTTTAGAATTCTTGATCCCGAAACCATTAGAAATAGTTTTTCGTCAGCAGTCTGTTTGGTGCAGATTAAATTATCCCCCATAACCAAATTATTTCAGCAGGTGCACAGCGTAAAAATGCGAAACACACATAAGCTGCTTCTGATCCTAATTTGATAAAAGATGACTTACAGATGGATGACGAATTTTAAGAAACTGATAAGTCGCGTATTTTGAAAAAATAGCTCTTTTACGCTAATGATATGCTCTGCATTTGATTACGAATGCTATTGTCAAGAATAATTAAAATAATTTTTAATCTATTGTTTAAATTTTTAAGTTGCTAGATAAGATTGACTACTTATTCGTAATTACTCAAAGTAATTCGACAGTATGGTTTTTAATCATAATGTTTTTTTTTCACTATTCATTTTTTTATTTCAAAATTTCTCTTCCTTTTTTTAGCTAGTTTATCATCCAATTTCTTTCCAGTTATTCAATTGGGATTCGTTATTTTTAATGTTTAGAGAATAAAAAATTGTTGTCGATGAATTAACAAAAGAAAAAAAAATATTGTTCTTTTACCCTGAGCGGGGCATAAAAGTTTGAACCAAAATTTTAGCTCAGAAGATGCGGTCATCGTATACACCCATCGTAGAAAATAATAATAATAATAAATATAAATAAATAAAATAATAATAATAATAA